CTGTGAGTTCAAGGCCAGCCTGATCTACATAGTGAGTTCCAGGACAGCTGGGGCTACAGGGAGACCCTGTCTCAAAAAAGACAAATAATAATAATAATAATAAATAAAATATTTTTTAAATAACCATTTTTTTTTGAGACAGGGTCTCCTTGTAGTCCCAACAGGCCTGTAACTCACGATGTAGACCAGGCTGGCCTCAAACTCACCTGCCTCTGCCTCTCAAATGCTGGCTTTAGTAATTGGCTCCAGCAATAAAATAGTTTAAAAACGTAGGCATTCGGCTTTCTCAGCAAGCCACAAAGTTACTGTAAGAGACAAGCAAGGTGGGAGAAAGGGACGGGGGGGAACCCTGATCTTCCTATAGTGATGCTGAATTCAGAAGAAAATCCTTAACTAATTTCTCTCATCACTATGGACAAAAAACAGTCTGGCCAGCTGAGATGCCCAAGGATGATCCTAGGATGGCTGACGAAAAAAAAAAAAAACAGATGTTTCCTGGGAAGCTTTTAGATACTGAAACTACTGAATGAAAAGGAAGAAAAACCATGCAGGCTACAGGACTCACCGACTCTGTGGACAGCCACCCGCAGCTTCCAGAAGGCAAGTGAGAGCCTCTCCCTCATTTCTTCACAGGTCTTGAAACACCCTACCAAAGTGATCCTTCAGATCCTGTCTTCACTAAGCATTAACCAGTCCCAAGGAAATTAGAGCTTCGCCCACGACCACACATCCACACTGGCCAGAGCTAGGCACGAACTAGCCAGAAGTGGGTCCCCTGGACTATGGGTGTGTGTGGGAGGAGGGGGGATAGCTTGAAACTGGAAGAGCAAAGACTGAACAGGTCACAGGAATAAGAGTAACTAACATGGTTCTGACACAGAACACAGAACAGTGACCCGAGGAAACCAATGCAGTCACGTGCTTCCCCACATGGCAGAGACAGCCCACCTAAGAGCAGATAAAAGCTCAGGGAAGTGCCCCCCCAACCCCAGTGGCCATGGAGAGATCAAGAGCAGCGAGAGAGAAACTGAGAGAGGATCAGGGATGATGTTCGGTCCCAAAGAGACGGTGGGGTGGATGCACAGTCAGCCACTAAGGGGCTCACGAAGTGGCTCCTGATCAGGAGCATGACCCATCCTTTCCTTAGCTGCCAGGCAGGGACAACTAGTGTACACATCTGTGCTGCAGGAAAGAGCTGCCACCCTCCCATGTGACTGTGGGCACCTGTCCAAGTTGTTCCAGAGAAAACTAAGACTGAATGCCAAACCACCAGTCACCCAGCTGCTCTTCTAGGTGACCTAGAGTAAATGTCCATTCTAATCCTGTTACAGTGCTAAATTCTCCACCCCAAGCAATTACTGTCTATCGCCTCTGACCACATCACACAGGAGGAATCACGTTCCAGAAATGAGCATGTTCAGGATGTGCCCACCTTTCCACGTGACGGCAAGACCCTCCCATGAGAACAGGTGGAACAGCCTCTCCCTCTCTCTGTCCACAGCACTGATTCGGGAGCTATCTTTGTTGCGAGAACCGAGCCTTTCTTCACCCTCTCCTCCTGTTTGTTCTCATCAACCTCACATTCCTGAAGGGGTGAAGTCACGGTGTTGTTATACTCTGGGTTGGGAAACACCCTCCCCTCAAAGGCCTTAAAGCTTAAACTAGTCTGTTTCCAAATAACTTATACATAAGACACATTACAGGGACTATAAGCAAGTGTTCAGTGTCTCACTGGCCACAAGAAGTCCCTTCACCCATCCTTCACTACACATAATACATAGTGCACGGGACACTGGGTCATGTCACTGTAGCATCACGTGACATGGCTGCTGCCATCACAGCCCCAGATGAAGAAGCAGGACTCACCGATTTTCTGATTGAAAATCTTGTCAAAAGTTATTTCGTTTCTTTCTGCAAGATACTTCTGCATCACACTCCGGATGCTGGAAGAGAAAAACAATTGTTACAATGTGGGAATAAAATTCCCTCCACAGGCTCAGATGTTTGCACACTTCGTCCTAGCCAGTTTGGGGAGTCGTGGAATATTCAGGAGGTGGGACCCAGCTGGATAAAGTGGGTTATTGGGGAAGCAGGTCTTAAAGTTGATAGCTCAGCCCCATTTACTGGCTGATCTTGGCTTCTTGATCTGCCTAGATGAGCACAGTCGTCTCCAGGCTTCTGCAGTCACATGTCATTCATGCTGTGGCATGGCTATTGCTTGGTGCATTTGCCCAGTTTTCAGTGATAGCAGAAAAATGTGAAAAATGGACAGTTTGTCAAGAAAAAGAGAGAACCTGATTGAGAGAGTGATCAAAGTTGTACCCAGGGAAGTCAGGGAAGTTGTATTTATTAAGGAGATTAGCACCATTATTGAGAAGCCCTGGCCCATGCACTGGGACAAGAGGAAAGACATCTTAAGAGTTAGACTTCACCCTTCAAAAGCCCAGAGTATCACAATACAAACACTTTTGAAATGGGAGTAACTGAACAAGGAGAAAGCCTCCATGGGGTCCTGCTGGAGAAAGCCCACCTAAGAAAGTCTTACCAATTTCAACCACAAAAGCAGACAGAGGCCACTGAAGCTGTGATCCAAGGGGGTCAGTCTTCATCTCAAGCTGGAGCAGAGCGTGTGTCAGCCATATAGCGCGAGCTTCGCAAACATGCAATATCCAAGAGTAAGGGGATTAGGGGATTGTGGGCGTTTACAGCACAGTTCTAAGAAGCTGCTGAGCCCAAGCAATGTGTGGCAGAGGCAGAGTCCCTGCGGGGGAACTCCTGAGTGAGCTGTGCATGAAGCTAAGGAGGAAGGTGAAGCCTGAGAGGCTGTGGAGAATTCAGGATACCGGAGATGTCAGAAACAGGAGGTGCCGCCAAGGAAAACTGCAGACACCCTGTGGATGCAGCCCAAGAGAGTGATCACAGTGCCACAAGCAACAGAGCTGGAGGGTAGGGCACCCAAACCTGTCTGAGCATGGAAATGCCACCAAGAACCTCAGATATGGGACATGGAGAGAGGGGACTGGCACGTGCCCTGATGACTCTGGTCTGGCTTTGATCTAATCTCTTTCCTATGCTTCTGCACCTCCCTCTTGGGGTGGGAACAACTCTGTTCCATACTGGAAGTAAGAAATGTTATTTTTTTGTGTAGAGGGACTCACAGTTAAGAGTTTAAGTCTAGGAAGAGACTTTGGACTTTCGAAAAACAGCGTGGGAACTGAAAGACCTTGAAGGCTTGACGTTTGACTGAATACATCATGACATGGCCATGAGCCTATGGGGGCTGGGATGGAATTTATACCCTAGATATAAAATGTCCCCCACTGGATAATGTCTTTGAACACTTGGACCCACCTGCTGATGCTGTTTAGGGAGTCTATAGAACCTTTAGGGGTGGGGCAAAGATGGGTCACTAGGGTATGGGTTGTAAGGTTATAGCCTGGCCCTACTTCCTGCTCCACCTCTGCTTCCTGATTCACCCAGATGTGAGCAAGCAGACTCCTGTTCCTGCTGCCACAACTGGGAGCCACCATGCCTTCCCCACCATGATGGACTGTACCCTCAAACCATAGCCAAACAAATCCTTCCCCTTTTAGTTGTTTCTGTCAGGCATTTAGTCACAGATTAAAAAAAAGAAATAAAACAGTGGCATATTCTAAGGAATATGCTATAAATGCATAATCAATAATCCCTTCCCACAGAGAGAGGAACAGACGCCCATCAGCACTCAAGGACACCAGCTGTATGAGAGATCCCTCTTAATAACATCCAGGACTGCAGGAACTGGCCTAGGGGACTGACAGCAGCCAAAGTCGAGAGCTGCCATGGCTCCCAGGACCCAAGATCAACCTTATATGTGGATAATCTTCTTAAGAACATCACTTAAGAATGTCAAAAACTCACTCTCAATCCCAGCTCTTGGGAGGCAGAGGCAGGCAGAGCTCTGTGAGATCAAGGTCATCCTGGTCTATGTAGCAAGTTCCAGGGCAGGTGGGGCTACAGGGAGACCTTGTCTCAAAAAGACAGCAAAAAAAAAAAGCCTCTCACCCTCAAGACCACCCCTCTTTAAAATATACACAAATATGTGAGCTTGCACACACATAGCACACATATACCCCATATAGAGTCCCATGTATCCACACACTACACACATACAGAGCTCTATGGATGCACACACATACCCACATGTAGCCCCATGCATGCACACATTACACACATACTCTACAAAAAGCCTCATACATGCACACAAACACACACATACACCCAAAGCCCCATGCATGCACACACACCATGCACACACAGCACACACATACCCCACACACATCTCCATGCATGCACACACATACCACATACATATACAACCCCCAAAAACCCCATGCATGCACACACACCAAGCACACATACCCCTTACACAGCCCCATGTATGCATACACACCACACACTCATACCCCACACAGAGCTCCATGCATGCACACATGCTATGTATATGCTCAACACACAGCCCCATACATGCACACACATCATGGACACATACCCCACACTGAGCCCCATGCATACACATATACATGCACATGCACACCCCACAGATATCCACATGTGTGCATACACAGGAAATCCTGCTTATTAATCTCTTAGTAAAATAAAAGCAAAAGTTCCCTAGATATATGATTAGTGTTTTTAAATCATTTAAATATACAAACAACAAAAATTATGATGAAAGGAAGATTTCACTTGCAATCAAATTAAAAAAAAAAACCTGGTCTTGAAATTAAAATCTTCCAAAATATACACCAAAAAAACTTATGGAAAAAATGATAAATCATGTACTGAGAGATTAAAGAAGTTCAAGTAAGTGGAGAGATACACTACAGTTATAAGCAAAAAGACTGAACATTGAGAGAACTTAAAAATCTACCAATTTCATCACAAACTCAATATGATCTCCATCAATACTCCAACTGGGATTTTCACAGTACACAGAAACAAATGAGTTTTTTCACGATTTATACAGAATGATACCGACTGAGAACAGCCCACGGGCCTCTGAAGGAAACAATTTAAGATGTTGGGACCAACCATGCAACTAAGGTGATTAAGACAGCATAAACTGATCGATGAAGAAGTGAGCTCAAAATGTGAGCAACACGCGCACTCTACTTGGATGTAGAATAGAAGAGGAAGGGCAGAGAGTAGAGAACAAGATCTTTAACTCCTACTTCTACATCGCACAAAGCCTCACATGAACATTATTCCTGAACATGAAAACCAAAATCTTAAAACTCCTCTTTTTGGAAAAGAATGATGGGGCTAGAGAATGACTCAGCAGTTAGGAGCACTGGCTTCTCTTGCAGAGGACCCAGGTTCAAATCCCAGCACCTACATGGTGGCTAACAACCACCTGTAACTCAGTTCTAGGGGATCCGACACTCTCTTCTGGCCTCCATGGGCATTGCACAGCATAGGTGCACTTAGATACATACAGGCAATAAACACATACACATAAAATTTTTTTAAAAACGAAATTTTTTTTAAAAATAGAATAAAGAGTATGGCTTTATTATGGATGAATGGAGACAGAAGTTTTCTCAATAAGTGAGTCCAGGATGCCTGTCCAGTAAGTGAGCCCAGGGAGCTGGTTCAGATGAATAAAACCAAATCTATCATCTGCTGATGGAGAGTGAACAAGCTAGCATGAGTTTATTTTCACATGTTTATTTTGTGTGTACATGTGTGAGCACACATGTGCATGTTCATGTGTGTGAGCACATGTGGAAGTCAGAAGACAATTTTCAGGTATTAATTCTCTTCTTCCATCTTATGGGTCCTGGGGATTAAATTCGGATCGTCAGGCTTGGCAGCAAGTGCCTCTACCTGCTGAGCCATCTCATTGGCCTGGCATTACTTTTTTTAAACCTTTTAAAACAATCCAAGGTGTGATTCGTGTATAATTAAATGTGGACGAGCTTTTCCTGAATTACAGGACTGTAGCCCCTTGTCCTGACAGTATATTTTTAAAGCTTCCCACACTGCACTAGGTGTCCCAGATTCTAGAGTCAGTTAGTGGCCATCCTGTCCACACAGGCCACTTGCCCCAGTTCTAGGCTGTGACATACATCAACATACATGACCTGCTGTCTTGTTTCATGTGTGTATATGCACCATATTTGTGCAATGCCAGCAGAGGCCAGAAGAGGGCATCAGATTCCCCCTGGAACTAGAGTTACAGATGTTGTCAGCGGTCATGTGGATGCTGGGAACTGATCCTGGGTTCTGTGCAAGAGTAGTCAGTGCTCTTAACCTCTGAACCATCTATCTGGCCCTGTGTGCTGTCTTTTGTGCCTGGCTTTATTTCTTGGCATAGGTGGGCAGCATCCATACGCTGTGTGCCTATACTCGGTGCCTTTTCACTGCCAAGCTTCCACCACTGCACAAACAGCTCACAATCTGCTGAGTCCCCTTATGTTCCCGGGTATTTGTGCTGCCACTGGTTTCAGGCTGTTAAGACTGAAGATGCTGTAAATATCCATGTCTAAGCCATTTGAAGGATATGTGTTTTCATCTCTCATGGGTACATTCCAAGTAGTGAAAGTCTCATTGTCTGGTAAATTTGGTTTTACATCAGTAAAAACTGATGAACTGGAGTTCTAAACTACTCTTGTCCTTTCCATGGACAAGGTATGATGGTGCTGGCTGCCCCACAACCCTATCAACACTTGGGTTAGTCTCTCTTTAAATTTTAGACACTGTTGTATGTGTACTAGCCCAAACTTTAGTTTGGTTTTCAGTTTGCATTCTCCTCGTGAGCAGCGACAGTGAATGTGTCTGTACATGCCTACTGGGTCAGTACATCTGCTTCTAATCAGTCACTTTGTCCTGGAATTGAATGTCTGATTATTCAATTGTAGAGCTCCTTTACATAGCCTGGGAATCAACACTGAGAGGCTCT